CCGGCATGGTAACTACAGTGGATTCGGGGGGGCGGGGGGGAATCTTGTGGATGTATGTAAACCCAAAATACGACCATGTCAATGCGGATCTTTTCCTCTAATTAACATACAAAAAAACCTACGTTCCCCCCATCGTGTCCATGTAAATAGGGCCTAAAGGAGGTTTTTCTTGCTCTGGGTCCCTCTGTTCTTGCTATTGTGAATACTAGTTTATCCTCAGGTGTGGTGTCAAAAACTTTTAAACATGCTGCTGTCCAGCCTCTCCTGAAAAAAAACCCCAACCTCGAACCCTCAGTCGTGTCCAACTTCCGCCCTGTCTCCAGACTCCCATTTACCTCTAATCTACTGGAAAAAAATTTGAGTCTCAGTTGAAGTGCTTCTTCTGCTATAATAGAGTTATTCCAATCTGGCTTCATAACTCTCCACAGCACTGAAACTGCTCTACTGAAGGTTTTGAACAACATTTTACTAGCTACTGATGCAGGTGATTTTGTGCTACTTGTTCTATTGGACCTTACATCTGCTTTTGACACCATCGACCATGGGCTCTTCATTTCTAGGCTAGAGCAGTGGGTGGGCATCAGGTCCTACCTCTCTGACAGAACCTTTTGTGTCAGTATCAAAGATTGCAGTTCAGCATCGGCAGCGCTTCAGTGGGGGGTACCACAGGGGTCCATCCTCGGCCCCCTTCTCTTTTCTTTATATCTTTTGCCACTAGGTGCTATTTTCTGTAATCACAACATTCTCTTTCATTTCAACGCCAATGACTGTCAAATTTACTTCCCCCTAAGGCACACACGCTCTATTCAACCTCTTCTTGACTGCCTGGCTGACATCCGGGACTGGATGGCGTTAAACTTCTTAAGTTTCAACGAGAAGAAGTCTGAAGTCATATTGTTCCATCCCAATGGCACGTTCATGAACCACTGCATTGACCTTTTCTCTCTAGCTCCGTTAGAGAAACAAAGTGTCACCAATTTGGGAATGATAATGGACCCCTCCCTGAAACTTAACAGTCAGTAAACATGATTGTTAAATCCTGTTGTTTTTTTCAGTTGAGGCGACTGTCTAAGCTAATTCAATTCAGTTTATTTATATAGCGGCAAATCACAACAAAGTTGTCTCAGGGCACTTTACAGAAACATTCACATACATAAAAGCAAATTAGTAAAATTCTCTATCTAAGGAATCCAACAGACAAGTTGAATCTTGACGTCGTTGCAGTCTCCCATCCTGAGCAAGCACAGTGGCAACAGTGGAAAGAAAAACTCACTTTTAAAAGGAAGAAACCTCCAGCAGAACCAGGCTCAGGACAAGCGGCCATCTGCTTTGACCGGCTGGATTGAGAGGACAGGAAGGAGAGACAGACGAACACAGATTGGTAGGCGCAGGTGTACCTGAAAGACAAAAAAACCCCACATGTTAAGGATAGAAAAAAATAATTACAAATGTTGAGCATAGTAAGTAAAGACAGTAGCAGAGTGAAAAGTGTGGTCAGTTTGTCCTCCAGCAGTCTAAGCCTATAGCAGCATAACTAAGGGACAGCTCAGGAAACCCAAGCCGACCCTAACTATAGGATTTAGCAAAAAGGAAAGTCTTCAGTCTAGTTTTAAAACTAGATAATGTGTCAATTCAATTCAAATTCAAAAATACTTTATTAATCCCAGAGGGAAATTAAATGTTGTAGCTCATTTTCCTTGTTTCATAAAAGAGTTGTTCTAGATGTTGATGGTTGTGGGCGGGAAGGATCTCTTGTGATGGTCCGTCTTATAGCAGATCTGAAAAAACTGGCCACAGATGTTGATCCGTTTACTTGCACTTGGTTGGCCTCCTGGGCTTCAGGATCACCTGAATGTTGGGCAGAACTCCTCCCAGGGCAATGGCCACTCCTCCCAGCAGCTTGTTGAGCTCCTCATCGCTGCGGACAGCCAACTGTAGGTGCTGATGGACGATCCTGTCCTTACGCTGTCATGAGCCGTGTTTCCTGCTAGTTCCAGGATCTCAGTGGTCAGGCACTCGAGCACAGCTGGCAGGTAGATGAAAATGCATCCACAGAACATCCTTTTCAACTCATTTGAAATTTAGGGCTGTAGTTGAGATATTACTTGAGCTTTTGAGATATTAATCAGCTGCTGTTGGTTGTAGAAACGGCCTTGTTGCCATGGTTACGCATCATAAAAAATGTCCAAAACTAAAAAAGTTTCAGTAAAAATCCTTCCAGCTGCACATCATCCAATACCAGAGGAAACAATCATCCAAAAAATGTGATTTACATCCAGAAAAAGAGGAATTAAAGTTTCCAAAAGCAAAATCTCAGAATGAAAGTGACAGAGCTGCTCCAACATGCAGCCACCTGGAGAGGCGCAATTCTAGAACCGGCCTCACGGACAGAGATTGGAAGTTGGTTCCACAAGAGAGGAGCCTGATAACTGAAAGATCTTCCTCCCATTCTGTTTTTGTAAATTCTAGGAACCACAAGTAAACCTGCAGTCTGAGAGTGAAGTGCTCTGTTAGGAAACTATGGAAAAATAAGATCTGTAATATAAGATGGAGCTAGGTTGTTGAGGGCTTTGTAGGTTAGAAGTAGGAGTTTGAATTCTATTCTGGATTTGACAGGGAGCCA